ATTCATATACATTGTCCCTCCTATCAAACATATGTTTTAAGTTCACCAATAAAATTTTAAATGATTTTTATCTTTATTTAAATACATAACTAACAAACCAAAAAACTAACCTGAGATTTGAATCTTTCTAGAATGAGGACAAGGACTTCTGTTTTGTCAATGAATATCTCTCAGGCACCCAGAACAATGTCCAGCACATGTTAGACACTCTATACATGGTAAAATAAAAAAAAAAAAGAAAGAAAAAAAAACAAGAAATGAATGTGTGCATATATGTTTTTACAATTTATACTAGACCACATCAGTTGGTGCATCTAAGCCTATGGGCGTAATGGTGCTCTTGATCATAACTGATAATAAATCAGCATGTCTTGGTGGAACAGATTGGAGGGTAAAAAGAGGGAGGGAAAGATACCTCTACTTATCCAAAATTCAATTAAGTCTGCCTAAAGGAGATAAAGATGAAACATGAGTGAGCATTAATGGTCCACTCAGCCTTGGGTGGATATGTAACATATTTAAGATATGGAAAGAAGGCCTTGGGAGAAATATTCAGAGATTAATTATGATTTTTTAAAATTTTGCATCATGATCAAAATGGTAAATTTGGCTTTATTAAAATGAAATATTTTTACCATTCCACATAAACTATAAGAAAAATGAGAAGTTAAGCCACAGGCTGAAAGACAATGTTTGTAAAACATATGTAGGATGAGGTATTTGTATCTAAAATACATAATAACCTCATACAACTAAATAAGAGATTAATAACTCAGTTAAAAATGGGCAAATATTAAACATTTCATCAAAAGAGATATCTAAATGACAAATAAGAACATAAAAGATGCATAACACAATTAATCATTAGAGAAATGTAAACTAAAACCATATGAGAGATCAACATATTTCTATTAAAATAGCTAAAAAAGAGTCTAACTAAGTGTTGTAAAGTTGTAGAGCACCTGAAACATTACACACATTGCTGATGGGAACTGGAAATTATATGCCCATTTTGGAAACCAGTTTGACAATATGAATAGACACTTGCCTCATGATGCAGAAATCCCATTTCTGAGAATTTAAGAGAAATGAAACATATGCCATGGAAAGGCTTGTTATGAAATGTGCAAAGCAGATTCATAATAGTCAAATACAGAAAATAGAAGTCTATCATCAGATTGGTGGATAAAATGTGATATAAATAAAAAATGAGAATACAATGGGAGGGAAGTGGGGAGGGTTGGGTGGGTGGGCTGGATTGGGAGTAAAAGGGAGAAAACTGTACTTGAACAATGGTTAAAATAAAATAAAAAAAAAGAAACAAAAAAAATGAGAATACTACTCAGTAAAAAAATAGAAAGCACTTGTACTTATGCACAACTTGGATGAATTTCAAAAACATTATTGAAAGTGAAATAAGCCAGACACAAACACTATGTATTATTCCATTAATATAAAATTTTAGGAAAGGTAGAACTATATTGGTATAAAGCAAGTGAATTTTTGCTAACAACCAGGTAAAATATAATATTTTACACATACAGAAGAACTTATAGCCTTAGATATGTGTTATATGAGAAATCTTTAAGGTACATTATTTAAAAAATGAGTTACAAAATGATGTGCATGTGTTAACATTTAAATAATAAAAATGTATATACCTCTATGTGAGCATATATATAATTTTATTTTTATTTATTTCATTTAATGTTCTGAAATATATGTGATTATATATAACTTCCTTTAAAATTTACAGAGCCCAAACCCAAAATACAAATTGAGGCCCACATCTCCTGTGTTTAAATATTCATGTTGATAATTAAAATAATAATAATTTTATACTCTCTTCTACACAGATAAATATAACTCCATAACCATAATATTAAAAATAGGTAAAAAGAGCATAGGAATATTGAAGGGAAATGTCTTCTTTCTTTTTAACTAAGCAGGAAATCAAGATATGCTTTCTGCATAAAACAAGAATTAGACTTTCAGTGTGCTGTGTAAAATTATAGAGGTGACCATTTGGAAAACATGTATATATATGAATTGTATGGAATTGGATAAGGAGAAGAAGGGTTGCTGTTTCCACTCATCTTCAGTTATCAATAAGGAATTTTAACAGTCAATATATGATGACTAACATAGTGTATTGTTACTTTATTAATCACTAGAAAAACTAAGAAGCATAAGTTCAGTCTTCATTCTATTTTTGATTGTTTATTTTATTTTAAACGCATTTTATTTCATGGACAATTTTTTGAAACAAAGCTTTCAAAAAAATAAAGCAAAACAAATTGCCAGTTTTTTAGATACACTATCGGTTAATAAAAGACGGCCTTCCTGTTGGTGCATTTTGTGATAAAAGGTTGGTAGACTTCTGTTCCAGTATGAGCCCAACCCAGACAGCATTCCATCAGATTACTACTAACCAATAATAAAGCATAGAGCAAAATACCTACAAAGTCAGCCAAGAAAAACCACAAGTAGGCTAAACATTTAAATTCAACAGATGGGAGTATAAGCAAAATTACATGTATGGATTACTGAAGAAAAAATAATGTATTTATAAACAAGTTTTGATATATGTATTAAATCAATGTTTATTGAGAATCTGGAATATAGAAAATATCCTAAACATCTTTGTTTCTGGACATGCCATGACTATTCTTCCCTGAAGTTAGAGTGGGGAGTCTGATTTGATGTTATTTCAGAAACTGAAGTGGACCAAATAATCCATGTTTTTGAAGTGTAAAACAAGTAATTCACAGCATTCTGAAAAGTCCAGGCCCTAGGAATACAATGTGAGTAGTCAGTTACCTCTGTCATGCTTGGGGAAAAACAAACAGCAACAACAAAAGCAGTCAGTAGTTGCAATGCAAAATGCAAGGTGACTTAATAGATGTGTATGAGAGATTATCAGGGAGCCTGTGGGGGAGAAAAGTTTCTAAAGCTCACTGAAGACCTGCAAAGCCCTTTCTGTTTCCAGTGTACATTTTATGTTATCTCATTTAAGAGCCTTCCGAATAGAATGGGCAACCAAGAATATTCAATAAAGAGAATTCATGTAACTTTCCAGAAGTTAAAAAAAAACAACTAGCAGATTATAGACCCAAGATTAGTATCAGGTCATCCCATTCCAAAAGTGGCTCTTTCCAAAAGTCCACAACGCATGAACCAACCATACTGAAGGTACCCAGACCTTTACCATGACTGAGCAAAATTTAGGGGATGTTCTCTATTCTCCGTATATAATTTTACAGAAATAAATGGATGAAGGGCTCTGCACACACAGCAAACACAAAGTCTGCAGAGATTTTTGGTTGTCAGATTTGGGCATGTTTATATATATTCAAATCCAGAGAGAAATTCTGACTCTCACCAGAAAGGTAGGTCAGTGATCTAACTAATTTCTGAATTCAAAATATAAAATGTTTAAAACATAATACAGCTTCATACACAAAATGATCTGTGAGGGATGTAAAATAGAACTCTGTTTTAGATTACATATATGCTGTAATTTGTAAGCAGATTTTAAAGTGATAAAGTGTCCCTGATTATGTGGATAGAGAGACAGACAGACAGGCAAGCAGATGGAGATACATTTGACATAAATGCCAGGCATCATCATTCTAAGCATTTTCCATGTGGTATCATATTTGATCATTAACATTCCTACAAGGGAAGGACAGTTTTGCTCTCAGTATTACAGAAAAAAACAACAACTGAGCAACAGAGAGTTTAGGCAACTTTCTGAAAGTCACACAATCAATTCATTTGAACCTGTACAGAGTGAATATGTGCATGTATAATTATTATTTAGGATTTGTGTATGCACTTTCTATAGAAATGAGAAATGAGAGAATTCCAAAAAACAGTATGGAGTGCTACAATAACATGAATTCTACACTCCACGTGGTAGCACACGATACGCAATGTAACATGTTTTTTCTTGTCTAAGGATAAAAATATTTTGCTAATTTCATGATACTCCTTTTATGGATGAGTCAACTTTCCTTTCCTTTCCCTAAACAAGTCTGTCTAGTATTATCTCTTACCAAAGCAAGTGTGAATTTGTTCATACTCTGTATGGTTTATCACATTTTCCATGATCATCCCAGAACCACGCGACACCAGGCATGAGAGTAAGTTTCAGTGGGTGAGTGAGAATAAGGGAGAAGAAATTAAAAAAAAAACAACCACCACCACCAGAGGACAGCTTGAGAATGCAGACTTACTTACTTACAGAGGAAAACTAGTAAAGTAAGTGAGGTGGGGGGGAGCATTTCTGTAAAGTACTAAAAGATTTAGGGGAAATGTGGAGTATTGTATCTGCAAGACAGGGCACGAGCTTGTGCATGTGAAGACATTTGGTGTAAATTTTATGGTATGTGTATTATATCCCCATATAAATGCTTTTTAATGTACTTCTATAGAAAAGAAAGAAGCTGGTGGCCACAGTTTTGCCCCGTCCTGTAACGATGAATGTTTTCCCTGTCTCAGCCTGCGCAGCCCAAGGATGGGTAGAAATAGCTAACATCTGGCCAACATGAATGAAGATATATCTAAATAATCGAGAACATGCCCTCTCTGGCAGAATTTTTGGAGAGTACAAGCATTAGCTGTTGCCAGAGGCTGTGGTGATTCTGTGGTGCCACAGCAAAAGTAGTTTAGAGACACTGGCAAAGAGGAGTTTAGCAACAGTGACAAGATTCGAGAGAAAAGTGACAAGTGATACTACACCCTCGGAGAGGCAGAGAGCGGGCTGGCTGCAGGGTCTTTGCTAGGACTGCATATATTTCCTTGGGTCTGAGAGAAGGAGAAGGCTTTCTTTCAAACTCTCCGATCTCCTTCTTGGCTTGTCCTGGGTCTGTGCTGGTGCCTTCCCTCTCTCCAGTCTGTTTCCTAGCCTTTCCCAGGTTAGTGCCCTTCCCCTTTTCGTGGTCGCCATCTTGGCTCCTGCTGCTCTTGCTTCATAGTTCTGAGTCATCTTTCTGGGCTTCTCCTGTGCGTGTGCTCAGCGGGAGGTATTTCAGGTAACTTTTTCTTTCTCTCCCAGGTAATCTGGAGCAGCAATTTGCGTTACCCCCTGGGCGGCCGTAAGGTTGTCTTTCCTGCCAAGTTGACGAAGTAGGATGTAGTCCGGAACAATGGGTGAGTGTGAAGCTGCTGTTTCTCAACGCAGTCAGACCTTGCCTGCTCCCTTCTCTGTGGTGAACAACCGACTGCCTACTCTGACATTACCATCTCATTGTCTATAATATTCATTTCAATCATTTCGTCGTTCTCATTAGATATATGGCATCGTAGACCTTTCAAAATTCTATTTTCTTTTATCTTAGTTTATAAATGCTTTGGTGTTTTAGTTTACTGGAACTGCCACAACAAAGCATGACAAACTGGGTAGCTTAAACATCAATTATTTATTGTGCCACAGTCCTGGAAGCCAGATGTCTGAAACTGAGGCGTTGGTAAGATTGGTTCCTTGTGAGGGCTGTTAGGAAAGGAAGGGCCCGGTCCAGCCACTCTCCTTGGCTTCTAGATGGTCACCATCATGTCAATGTGACATTTCTTGCCTGCATGCAAGCCTGTCTCCAAAATTTTCCCTTTCTAACCATCATTTAAACATTTCTAAAATTATAGTTGATACACTGTTGTGCCAATATTATGTTAGTTCCAGGTATACAACATAGCGATTCAACATTTATATGTCCTATGAAGTGGTCACCACAATAAGTCTAGTAACCATCTGTCACCCTACATAGTTGTTATGATGTCATTGATGTTATTCCCTGTGCTGTACTTTATTATTTTATAACTGGTGGTTTGTACTTCTTAATCCCCTTCCCTTTTGACACCCAATCCCCCACCCTTTGAGAAACCATCAGAAATATTTAAAAATCGGGGTGATCACTTCCTGAGATATTTTAATGCCTAATCACTATGTTGTTGGAAGGAACAAAACTCTGCCACTCTGAAGCTGCTTTGGGGGATATTGATTTTAAGCTGTTTATTAAGAAACAAAAGACGCAGAAAGAGCCTTTGACCCTCCTTACCTTCTTGCCAAAGAGATTCAGGCACAGAAAGCTACTTCAGGAAGGAGAATTTAGGATGTCGTTTTAGCCTAATTTTAATTAATTGTAATAAACAAAAGGGCTTCGGGCAGGTTAGCTAGTTACCCACCCGTGTCTCATTGTTTCTGATTTTCCCAGGAAGGATTTTCCTGCCTTGTGCTTTCTGCTCTTTCTCACCTGCCTGTAAATGTCTATTCTCATTTCTGATATCTGATACCCTGTTCCTTTCTCCTTTGTCCAAAATGTTTTGTATACCCAGTGTTGCCCCACTATCTAGTGCCACCTCATTAATAGACTTCAAAAGTAAAACTACAGGATTATTCAATAAATACATATAAAACATTTGGTAACATTCAGTGTCTAAGATACACCCTCTTAGGAAACTAAGAATAAGAGAATACTTCCTTTAATTGCTAATGTCTTATGTTAAATTTATACAGCATTTTATGTTGTTTAGCAATGAAATTTTATGCAGATTTTTAAAAGATTAACAGCAAACAATAGACAATTGCTCACGGGCACTATTTAACATAGCATAGCATTAGCAGTTGTAAGGAGTGATACAAGAAAAGTAAAGGAAATAAAAGTTGCTTCTGTTGTAACATCTTTTTATATAATCAAATTGTTTGAAACTTTTGCAGATATATTTCTTTTATAAGAATCCTTTTCCCTTTTAGTGTGATCATAAAATGGAAGGAAACCAGAATATGTTACCCCAATGTATGCTTTTTGACATAGAAATTATTTTGAGCTAAAGGTTATTAGCAAGCAGTAAATGCAGGAGAAACTCGCCCTACCTTTTCCCCCCTTTTCTGCCTAAAGACAGAATATAAATTCTCCCTTTATTGGAGACAGACTTCTGTCAGCCCAGAGACAGTATACTTCATTCTATTTAGTTCCCTCCTGAAAATTTACCTTCCTGGAGTTGCCACCTTTGGCAGCCTGAAACTGCTTTTTCTTTGTCCTGTCATTTCTCTACAGATTTATGTATTTATTTTTGTTGAAAATGCTATAGAAGCCAGAGTTCTAAGCTACCGCTTTGAATTTCTCTTCCTTTAGGTTTCTCTCTGATAACGTGTCCCACACCAGTTAATGAATTGTTTTACTCTTGTCAATCTGTTTTTTCTTTTTGTTCATGCCAGCTGAAAATCTAAGAAAGGTGGGTAAAGGTAAAGATTTGCCTCCCCTACAAAACCTAGTAAATTTTCTCAGCTTTCACTCACTAGGTCTGCTGTGCTCTTTTTAATTTTTTCTTCAAATCTTTTTCTTCTGATATTGAAATATGTTTGTGTGTGTACACACTATACACTCACATTCTTCCCATATTATTTCTACATCTGCTAATACTGTATCAGAAATGATTATCTTAACCAGTAGTAAAACTATTACTGTTTGTTCCTAACCTCCTAACATTTCCATGAGTACCAAATCCTATCTCCTTTCTAATTCATTCTCTTCCCCACAAAATACTGCTGTTACTGACATCCTCTTGCTCAAACGCATTAAACTTCTTCCCCTTATTGCTTACAGTATAAAGAAAACAACTTACCCTACACTTACATTCTTCTGTCATATGATGACTTTCCCTTTTTCCCTATCTTTTGTTTTTATAAACTGATGTATGTGTTATAACCATTTGTCTGATCATAATCCTTTTTTAAATGAAACTTTTTATCCTCACCCGAGGACATTTTTGTATTGTTTGTAGAGAGAGAGGAAGGGAGAGAGAGAAACATCGATGTGAGAGAGAAACATCAATTGCTTGCTTCCCCTATGCTCCTGGGGCAGGGATCGGATGCACTTGGACCAGAGGTCAGACATGCCTGGACCCCGGACCAGATCCAGAACCGAGGTATGTGCCCTGACCGGGAGTGGAACCCACAATGCTTAGGTTACAGGATGACACTCCAACCAACTGAGCCACAATGGCCAGGGCCAATCATAGACCTTTTGATGACCCTTGTACTTTCTTGATTATAATTCCCACTCATACTGTTTCCACCTTTTGACATAACTTTGCCTTACCTCCAGCCCTGCATCGTATCTAAGTGATCTCCTCATCCCACACCACCCTTCTGAACAGCTATACTAATCATTGCCACTTACCTTCTTTGCACTTTGTAAGGTCATTGTATCTTTTATTACTTCAAGAGATTGATGCTTTTAATCAGAGTTTCTTGAGTGATTATTATGAAAGAATAAATGAATAATAAATATCCAGTCAGAGTTTCTCTGGAAATTTTATTATAAATGTTTTATTTTGCAGCTCACAAGTCAAAATGCAACTGGGTGACTTATGCACTCATCGTTTTTATTATTATTCCAATATCCTTTATAATAATAGGTGAGTGGATTCATTCATAAACTTTCTATGGTTATTTATGGTTAGCAAGCCTAAACATTTATATCTCAAGCTCTATGTGGAATCTCTCAGTTCTGGAGTAATAAATAGGTTTGTACAGATTTCTCCTTGGGTTCTTATCAGTTCAGCAGGTTTTATAGTCATCTTCTCAACTTTATAGGAGCTCTTGATCTTGGAGTAAAATAATCATAAATTCTCAGATGATAAGATAGCAACATCAATAACTATTTTTTAATTGAGAGTATTTTGTGTGAGTTAAAGAGCCTAATGTCAAAAACATTACATTTAATATTTATATTTAATTCTTATAAGACTATGGAATAGGTATAATTATGAAATCCATTTACAGACAGAGAAATAGAGATCAGAGTGAGTAAGTTGTGTCTCACAAATAACTTCCAGAGCCAAAATTGTGACTCCCTTGTAATTCCTGATATTTTAACCACCATGCAACACTCCCTCTGTAATTACAGTATGTCTTTACTCTCATTTCTTTTGGAGCAAGAGTAAGTAATATTACTAATAGTGGTTATATGAAATATTTGTTTGTTTCTATCCTCTTTTGATGAAAGAAAAAGATAATAACATAAGTGATATTTTGCAAGATTTTCTCTGCTGCAGTAGATTTGTAAAAAGGAAGATGTTTACTTTCCCTTCTGGGTGTTCTGGATTCATTTTGTGGAAAGAATTCAAAGATCAAATTTAGTTCCTAAGCTAAGGCTAATAGTCTTCAGTACTTGATTGCCCGTGTGCATGCTTTGCTTAATTTAGCACTTAAACTAGCACTTAAAGTAATACTTTACACTCTTGATTTTTGTCTCCTTTGTCATTTGCAAGAGTACTGGATACACTTTCTGCTCACAGTTTCCTCTGTCACTGTAGAATCCTAGGAGCTCAGTATTGTCAATATTTAAACATCTGCAATTTAAACATTTGTAGAGAAGGGTCTCTATAAGAAGTCTTTATATATATTGATTAATTTTTAAAAGTGTTGAAACAATATATTTTATTACTCATGGGTAGTAGCCTGGATCTACTTCTGAGTATTACAAAAACAAACAAACAAACAAATAAACAAGCATTGCAGAGTGAGGCAAGAAGGCTTTGGAGTTATCTCTACATTTGAACATTTACTTGGCTCTTTTTTGAAGATTTTATTTATTTATTTTTAGAGAGGGGGAAGGGAGGTAAAAAGAGAGGGAGAGAAACATCAATGTGAGAGAGAAACATTGATTGATTGCCTTTCACATGGCCCCATCCGGGGAGCTGGCCCACAAACCACGCATGTGCCCTGACCAGGAATTGAACCAGTGACCTTTTGGTTTTCAGGATGATGCTCAGTACACTGAGCCATACCACTCAGGGCTACTTTGAACTTTCTTGGTCACATTAACTTACTTAAACATTTGGAGGGCAGACACTTTATCTTATTCTCATTACTCAACACCTAACTAAAAAACCTGAACGAGTGAATTCTCAAAACAGTGTACATATACTCATTATTATTCCAGTTCCTTTGGCACCGGATGTTGTGGAAGTAGGACAGATGTTTCGCTAACTCATATTTCAGTGACTTGTTATAACTGATGGAGAGTTTCACTTCTGTAGCTTTTATATCCTCCTCTGTCTATGATCTTCTCATTTCTTCATGGTAAAATGTAACCTTCATTTGTTACCTAAATCCTTGAGGCTTAAATTATATTCAGGTTTCTAGGTCCTTCCTTGATTGCTAACTTTTATGCATTCTTTTTGGTAGCATGCCAGTAGAGACCATGAGTGTCTAGTGGTTCCATTTCTCAAAATAGAAGCCAGGAAAAGAGGCTAAAGTATAGACTACTTGGCCACTAAGTGTTTTCCTTGCAGACAGAGGCATTGAATTCATTCACCACGTGAATGAAGTTAATTTTACAGGCCTCAAACCATGGGAGTAAAAAGTAAAACTGATTCACCAGAATGAGTAGAAACACATTTTAACTTTTTAAAAATTTGATCATTTCTTTCTTTTTTTTTTTCCAGTAATCATGGTAGTACCTTCAAGAAACTCCCAAACTATAATAAATCCCCAAACTATAAAATGTCCGGGAAAATGGATTGAAGTAAGATCTAAGTGTTTCTATTTTTCTGATGGTACCAGAAACTGGACAGCCAGTAAAACATTTTGCAGGTCACAAAGATCAGAACTTGCTCAGATTGACACACGTCAAGATCTGGTAAGAAAAAGGGAAGTTTTCAATCATTTCAGAGTTTAAGCTTGTAAGAGAATAAAAGAGAGTAAAAATGGCAAAAGTTAATACTGAATAATGTAAGTCAGACTATGTTTTAAGCACTGAAACTATAAAAACTCATGTAATCTTCAAACAATAGTTTATATGTTACAACTAGAAGGATAAGATGTCAAATGTTCTCATCAGTATCCCAGTGGAGACATTGTAGTTACCTTTAAAGACAATTTAAATCAGGGTAGCTCAGAGAGTGTAAGAAGTAAAAGAGAAAAGTAAAAATCTTCCAGGTAAAACTAAGCTGAGCATTTGTGCTGTTTGTTGTCATAGAAGCACTGGGGCGTGCAAATTAATATGTAAATCCTAAAATCTGACTGGGACAAGAAGCCCTTTTAGCAATGTGCTCTAAACTGTTAAATAGAACACGCTGTGATTTTTTGAAAGGAATTTTTGAAAAAGTACACAGGAACATTTATGCACTGGATTGGGCTGAGCAGAAAAGAAGGAGAGCCTTGGAAATGGACAAATGGCAAAATATTCAACCCCTGGTGAGTTTCAAATGTGGAAGGGAAGATTTATTCTGGTTGTGAAAAATATTAAACCATTTTGAACTGTGAAATGTGCCTTTTCACACTGAAACATACTTTCGAACATCCCATCTTCTTTCTTGCTAAATAACACAGTGGAATTTTCCATTTTATTTTTATTTGCTTCCTATTTTATTTTTTCATTGTCAAACTTTTGCTAATCAGCACTCATATTGCTAATTCAAATTCAACTATTTTGCCAATTTCAAGCCAAAGCACAAACATTTCTTGAACCTTTTCTAACTAACTGATTTTATACAAAATCTCTCTTATTTAAACAGAGAACATACAGTTGTCTTTAACTTTCCAAATGTCCATCAAAATCAATATTATTTAGTTAGTTAAGAGTTTCTTGAGTGAATATGGTTTCCTCACTTACATACCATTTACCGACAAGAACTGTACTTCTTTCCTTTTGCACACATGTATCCCTGCCTTAATATTTCATTAAGTGCTAGATAAAAATTAAATAAATATTGAAATATGTACAATAGGAAAAATTATGTTTATGGGAAAAAAGGGAAATTTCAGTCACCAAACAGAACAAATTAATAAAAACAATATTATAAGTAGTCTTTCTAGTTTTTATCTGAATATGCTGCAAAAGCACCAAATAAATAGAAATCTTATTACTTTCAAAAAGGAACACTGGCTAAAAATAGACCCAGGGAACTGGTTTTATTTATTTATTTATTATTTATTTATTTATACTCTCAATTACAGTTTATTTTTAATGTTATTCTATATTAGTTTTAGATGTATAGCATAGTGGATAGACAACCATGTGCTTTACTGAGTGGGCCCGCGATGTTTCCAGTGCCCACTGGGTCCTATACATAGTTATTACAATAGTATCCACTATGTTCCCTATGGTAGGATTTACAGCTCTATGACTATTGTGTAACTACCAGTTCCTATTTTTAACCCGTTAACCCTTTTTACCCACACCTCTGGCCCTTGCCCCTTGTCAACCATCAGTCTATGCTCTGTATCTATGAGTCTGAGAAAACTGTTCTTTAAAAAAATTCCAGAGATCTATGGATTTAACAACTCTAGATAGATAGATAGATAGATAGATAGATAAAAGTAGATATAGGTAAATGTATATAGATGTAGAGATATAATTATAGCACTGATTTATCTATGCCCCCCCAAATCAATCTTTCTTCCTATTGTTCTGAATAAGGTTACACATTACACTAATAATAAATACCTACATTCAGTCTTACAGTCCTTTAATGTACCAGATATTTCTGTGTGGCATATGGTGATGGGTGAGTATCATGCTCAGTGTTTTATATGAAAGATTTTAAGTCACTCTATTTTTTATTTTATTTTTGATTACAGCTGAAAATGGTTTCCAAACTGATTTTGGTTATTCCTTTTTTAGGTTTGAAATTAGTGGGAATGGATATTTTGCTTTTCTGAGTGCTGATGGAGTCAATAGTTCCAGGGGGTTTGATGACATGAAGTGGATTTGCAGCAAACCTCAAATTTAATAGAGGAAAACATTGGGAAATTGTTACTGAACCCAGCCAGCAGAAGTCCCACCACTCGCCATCATACAGGCAAAACTTTGGAAATAAAGTTCGACAGAAAAAAAAGGAAACTTTTATTTAATGACCATACAATTTGAAATAAAGGCAGGTTTCTGTCCCAAAACCCATTCCTTCGTAAAAAAAATATATATCTGAAGAAAAATAACACTGCCACCCACTGCCAGGCCAGACCAGTCCTAGGCCACACCTAGAATTCCCTTTCCCTTTAAAAGTGCCGTCCTTGGGAAAATACAGGTGGCTGAAACATGCTTCTGGTCGTGGTCTGTTCCAGGTGTCCCTTGGAACCTGTGCAAGCTGCTCCTTGTTTGGCGTCTGCCCATTGGTCCAGCCCTTGCTGCCTGTCTCTTTTGTGTCATCTCACCAGTGCAGCTGTGCTCCTAGCCAGGCAGTTTCCAGACCCCGCTGGGGCAGCTGCTGACCAATACAGCAAATGTGCAGTGCAGTGCTTTGGGGACCCGGTGCCAGCTGCCTAGCCACATGGCTTCCAGAGCCAGCCAAGGCACAAAGCACCAACTGGCTAAGCACCTTCCCACATGTCTGTGCAGTGGGTCCAAGGCCCTGCCCAGGCTGTAGCAGGTGGAGCACCAATGGCAGCTCCACTGCTCACTGGGTCTGTGCTGGAGGAACACATGTGGGCAGCATGCCAGAGGCTGCCAGGCACAGCGGGGCTTGCTGCCCAGTGGGGCTTGCTGCCCAGCTGCACAGCACCCAGAGCCCACTGACCTGGGCCTCCTCTCCTCTCTAGTGCCCACTGCACTCCAGGAAGGCTCTGTAGTGCTGGCGAAGGGGTGCTGAGAATGTCTCTGGACCACATGATCTCCTTCTCCTGCCAGCCTGGACAACTGAGCCCCTAGTGAATGACTGGGCCACTAGGGGAGGGGACTGCAAATTATGCAGTGTTTCTACACACTCTGCTTTTAAAGACTGCCCTCAGAATCCCCCATGTAGTGGAAGTAGTCATATGTGCTTTGCTCTGGTTGCCATGGCAACATATACTCACATACACTGGTGGTGTCCTTGGCACTTCCCAACCCCTCCCCCATTTCTGGCAGATGCCCTTCCCCTTACAAAATGATTATGAGGATTTAGAAGATAAAGTGAAAAACTAAAGTTGTTTTTTACTTCGTCTGTGAAAGTGAGGCAAGATAGGAAGAATTAGGGAAAACTAACAAGTAGAATGAGGAAGTTGGTGGGACAGCAGAGGCAGATAAGCCCCTAGGTTCTCTCATCAGAGCCCCCTCTGCCAGGTATGATCAAAGGGCAACAGTTAGGGCAGGAAAAACTCCTTTGGTGGTCACGGAAGTCAACCACAACAAGGACTGGCTACAAACAGATGGATCCAAGATGAAGGAGACATTGACCAGCGAGAAGGTAAAGGGAGGTAAATGGTGATGTAGGAGACTTGACTTGGGGTGGTAAACCCCAAGTGGGGTTTACCCCACGTGTGTACCCACGTGGGGTACACACAATGCAATACATAGATGATGTACTGCAGAATTGTACACCTGAAACCTGTAAAATTTTGTTAACCAATGTTACCCAATTTAAGAAAAGAAAAAGAAAAAGAAAAGAAAATGGCATTGTTATAATGAAAACTCGTACCACAAGTAGGAGAGGAATGGGGGTGGGAGAATGCCATGACTCTTCCAGAGCAAACCATTTTAGGAACAAGACCCTCCTCCCAATTAGAAGAGAGAGTCAGAATTAGGTGCCACCAAGTTCAGAAACAACCCACCCTCGTAAACACACAAAATCCCAAGAACTGACCCCATCTCACGTGTTCACTGGAACCCACTCTGGGAAAGCCAGTCCTAGGCTCAACCTTTGACCCTGTCCCAGGAGCCTGAGTTCACCCTAAATAAAAGTTGCTTTTCTTCCAACTCAAACTAGTTTTTGAATTCTTTTTGGCCTGAGTCAAGTGCTTTCAGGTCGCGGATGGTGCCAAAGCAAGGCCACATCAGCTCAGAACTGGTCTGGTGACAAAAGGGGCTAAAAATTGTTGAATAAATGAATGAATGGTTATAGGCAAAGTCTCATCAATTCAAGACACATAATTGCCCATTATGAGCACAAGTCAGGAAACTTCTGTTAAACAGGACCGAACAAAGTAAACAAATAGATGCTCTGTGCCTGCAATGATGGTTATTAAAAAACTAATCTAAATGGATCTATATTGATAGGTCAGCCAAGACTTAGGACTTAAAAGTTAGAGAAATATAAGTGCTCTATATGTGTAAATATGTCTTCGACTTTATCCTGAAAACAAGGGAAAACCCACCAGGAAGGATCCTAACTCTATAAATAACAATCACTAATACATAATTAGAATTAACACATTAAAATTACAAAACTTAGACTGTAGAACATAAACTAGAAGAACATCAAAAGTGACAAAACTATAGGTTGTAAACATTTAATTGTACAAACAAGGACAAGGAAGGATAGGCTTATGACACATGCCTGAGTGTGTCATAAAATTCAAATTGTGCAGAGCATGTGAAATATTATATCAAAACTGCATTTGTTATATTAGCTTGAGTTCACTTTCCTTCCTAAATAACTGTAATCATGAGCACAAGAAAGAATGAGAGCATAAATGAAGAGAGAGACATTAATCAGGATAGAGAATCTGGAGAAAAAGGGTGTACCTACTTTACCGGGCCAACACACACACACACAAGTTCTTCTATATCTTTAATGAAGGCTTAATTTCTTAATTGCAGGTGAAATGTGTGATAAATGATAAAAGGAGAATTTTATGTGCCCCACCCATCATTGCTTTTACTTGGCATTTTCATGGGACTGCAAATGACTTAGTAATCCTGGCAAATGTCAGCATGTAATCAAGTACAGACATTCTCATCTGTGCATCATGTTGTAACTGACAAAACCTGAAAATGATCATTTTTAGACACCACTGCATATTACAGGTCAATATATTAGATTTTGATTCATAATATAGGTTTTATTTTTATTGTTGGTTCATGACTACAAGTTAATTCATGTTAAATGCTTAGAAATGTAGAATAACTCATCCCTTTTAAAAAAAATGCTTCACAGTTACTAGGATATAAATTCCTGATAATTTAGAATGAACTGCATGCAACTTCTTCAAATTAAATAACTACCCCATTTACATAGTAGATGCAAACTGCTGCATTTATTTTAAAATATGAATGTGTTTTGATTAAATGAAAGAAAAAATAAGAAACTTTACTTTTATAAAATTCCAGTTAGAAGACTAAGGAACTAGAAAAGTTCTCAATATAATATTTAAAATAAATTTTATTAAAGGAGAATAAATAGTAAAAGCACATAAAAAACAAGACTATATATTATCTGAAATAAACATCTTATGCTTATAACATCTAAACACATTACCATTTGAAATTTGATTTGTCTTTGGTAAAAAAATTGAAAATAATCAACTTGGGGTAAAGGCCCATGGTAAAGAAGAAATGGCATATATGTATGTATGTGCCTGGTTTATTACTTCTCCAAATGCTCAGGAAGAGTTAAAACTCAAGGAATAGAACACACATGGGGAATAGATAGGATTAGGAAAAGATTAAATTTATTTTTTTAGACATTCAAACAATAGGGAATTATGTGTTCTTGTTTTTTTAAAAAATTATATTTTTCATTTGAGTCTTATTCCTGTATAAAATATTTGAAAATTTTATATTCAAATAAAAAACATAAATTTGCATTCCTCTAAAAAAATGGACAACCATTTATAACCTCCATCCATACATACACATTTCTTCCACTTTCTTATTCAAATGCACAGATTTTCTTTTATTCAGACAATGTTTCTCTGGCAAATGCCATAAAATTTAGAGTCACAGTCTTCAGAACTCACTTGATTTCCTGTTGTGACAGCACAGTTCATACTATCAGTTAGTCCAATAATTGAAAAGCTAGGAGATAAAGGGCAGACTTTAGAAAATTTATCTTAAATTTTCTTAAATTTCTTAATTTTTCTTAAATTTATCTTAAATTTTCTAAACATCAAAGTGTGGTGGAAAAAAATTTCAGAGGGATATCTCAGGAGTGAGGAGTCCCACCTCACACCAGGCCCACCAGTCCAGGGTTCCAGTGCCAGGAAGATAAGTTCCCACAACTTCTGATTACAAAAAACTGTGGGGATTAGGTTGGTGGGAGAAACTCCTGGAGTCCCAAGAAGTTCCTCTTAAAGAATCCACACAGAGACTTCTCAGACTCACTCCTTATGAGCTCCAGCACCAGGGTAGCAGCTTGAAAGTCACCAGTGGCATACAGAGAGAAACTGAAGTGTGGGTCATCAAGGTGAGCAGAGGCCATTGTCCCATTTCCAAACCCTCCCCACCCAGAACCACAGAGCCAGCAAGCTGGTGCCATTATCTGGGATTCCATCAAACTATCTAACACTGTTTGACCCACCTTGGAGATCCCCAGAAATTCCACTCCACCTGACTTCAGGACCCACCCAAGCTGCTTTTCCATATAAATGGCTGATGTTGGCTCATGCTTCACAACACCTAAATCTTCTCAAACAAGCAACAGCCAGCCTCAATAAGCCTCTAGCACCTGTACCTCTTGTTAAGTGGCCTGAGGCCCTGAGCTAGCAGCAGCCGGCCTACCTTCAAAGCTTGGCTTTGCCTGGGAATCTCCAAGCCCAGCACAAGCAGCAGCTGTCTCAGATTGCTTATGACGCAGACAGGGTGATCCTGGGCAAAACATAGGTGGGGGTGGACCTTGCTTGCACCACCCAGGAAACCACAGAGACAGTGCACCCAATGGACAGCTACAGAACATGTTGGAGCACTTCCAACCTGCCCCCACACAGCTCATCCTCCTTGTAGGGTGGAGGTTGGTGGTAAGTGGTCACAGCCAATCATTACAGTTGACTGTGCTCATTAAATCCTACCCATTGACCTGCCAACAGTAATCAAGG